GATAAATCAGAATGAGTATGTGCTTTTCAGGAAATTATTTCCTATGCACTGTGACATGAAAAGACAACCGGGCTAGGGGAAGAGTCATTCTCTCAGGAAATACTTCCCTGCCTGTGATAATTCATTGTGGTGTCACCTTAATGAGAAACACCTAGTGGACTAGTCTGGCACCGCTCTGGATTGTCTCGATGATGGACTTACTGAAAACGGAAGACCCAAGTGGTGTGGAGAACACCAAACTATAGATTGTAGCCTGGGTGGAATAACAAGGGAGAAAAGAAAGAAGTCTCCCCTTTTGCTTCCTTGGAGGAGCTCCATTCTTCACCACTGCCTTTGGATACTGGTCTCCAGGTCTCCAGCACAGACTCCAGCCTTCCAATGCAGACCCTTCAGCTTCCCAATACTCACACGAGACTCTGCATAAGACCCAAAACTTCAGCTATGATTGGATCCTCTGACTCCAGCATGCAGATGGCCCTTTTGCATTCTTTCACCTGTTTCTGTAAGTGGCTGTTGTAAGTCTACTTTGTAAATAATTTATATCTTACATATGATATACATATATCTATATATTTTTTGGAGCTGTTGTTGTTCCTCTAGTGAATCTTAACTGACAGAGAGTTTGGCACCGTCTCTAAGAATCTGCCTTAAATCTCAGAGACTTTGGATTTGGACTTTTCAGCACTGCTGAAACTGTTAGGACTTTGGCACCTCAGAGAGGGACTAACGCATTTTGCATAAAGAGATGTGCAGGAGTCTTTTGCAGGGTAGGGGCAGTGTCATAGTTACTTTCTCATTGCTGAGACAAAATATCCGACACCCGTAAATGAAAGGAGGAAAGGTTTATTTCAGTTCACAGTTTGTAGAGGTCTCGGTCCACGGCCAGCTGGCTTTCAGGCAGGGCAGTATGGCAGAGGGGCATCACACAGGAGATGGCAGGGCAGGGAGAAAGCAGCAAAACTTCCCTCTGCTTTCACTTTTTACTTCATTCCAAGCTACACACCTGTTGGTTGGTGCCACCTACACCCAGGGTGGGTCTCCCCATTATCCACACAAAGAACTATGCTAAACTGAACAGCGGACTCGTTATCACACATCCTAATCAGTATCTCATACCCTAGATCCTGTCACCTCCCAAAAGCCCCACCTACGAGGCATGAGGTTTGGGGGCTCACGTAGACATACGCGTAACACTTTGCCTGTTATGGCTGGCACTGTACCTAGGTCTCCCTGCAAAGCCTCATGTACTCATAGGTGGGCCTTCTGGGAGGTGACTGGAGTGTGATCGCTGGTGGCCTAGAAGGGTATCTCTCCCTCAGTCCTCATCTCTCTCTCTCTCTCTCTGTCTCTCTCTCTCTCAGGCCACGTGCTATTTCACCTCTGCCCTGCCCTCTGCCTTTCAGCCAGCTGACTATGGGCTGAAACCCCTACTACGCACCGTGGGCCAAAGTAGACCTCTCCTTCCTTACACCGTGCTTGTTATTTTGTCCCAGCAAGGAAGACACTGTGGTCGTGCCGTACATAGGAGTTTCAGGGTTACACACACACGCACACACACACCTGTTTTCATAAGGGCCTTCACAGCCTACTGAGGAGACAAATCTTAGCACCGCAGGTTAGGTAACCCGGGCAGAAGGACAGGGAACGTGGGGAGGCAATCAGAGGCCTCTATGGAAAAAAATGAGAGTGAGTGAAGGAAAGGAAGGAGGGCTGCCCTCCCCCCCGAGATCTCTGCTGAGCGGGAAAGGCCAGGGAAACGCCGCTAGCGGCACAGACACGGGGCTTCCCGGGGCTGAGGCAGGCAGGGGCAGGCGCGCGGTAGTGGGAAACCCGGGCGGCGAGGCCTCGGCCGCGGCTCCGTCGGGCGGGCCGGGAAGCCCCGGAGGCTCTGGCGTGGAAGCGCCGCACGGCCGCAGCGTGCGCTCGGCGGGTGTGGGGACGACGCAGGGAGGACGCAGGGACAAGGGTGGGCTCCATTCGGGCAGCCGTTTCTCGTTCGTCTGGAGACCGGGAGCCACTGTGCAGCCCAGGCTGGCCCCGAACTCGCGCGCCCTCTCTGCCTCGGCGCCGCGCGCGGGGTGACGGGGTGGGGGAGGCCGGGGTCCGCGGCGGTGGGGGCGGGGCTCCGCGGACACTGTGAGCAGCTCCTGCGACCGTGCGCCGCGAGGCGACGCGGGTCCGAGCTGGCCCCCGAGTCTTTCGACCCGAAGAACTGAAGAGGCTGGACGGCCGCGGGCCCAGCACAGCGGCGTGCAGAGACCGCCGCGGGCCGCTCGCCGCGGACGGACCTCAGCCGCCCGGGCAGGAAGCGGCTCCAG